GTGCAGAATGCGGTAGCCAGGCTGCTGATGAGTATCCCCATGTGGGAGCACATCCAGCCTTTTCTGAAGGCACTGCACTGGTTGCTGATAGCATACCGGATTTGTTTCAAGGTGCTGGTATTAACCTTTAAAACCCTATATGGTCATGGTCTGCCATACCTGAGGGACTGCCTTTCCCCACCAGAGAGCACTCCGTTCAGGGGTGCAAAATTGGTTGGCCCTTCCAGGCCCCAAGGATGCTAGGCTGGCAACAACCAGGGCCAGGGTCTTCTCGGTGGTGGCTCCATCCTGGTGGAATGAGCAACCGGAAGAGATCAGGGCCCTGCAGGACCTTGTACAGTTCTGCAGGCCCTGCAAGACTGAGCTCTTCCACCAGGCACTTGACTAAGGAGCTACATCATGCACCAAGGAGTATCCCTGTGCCCTGGCTTTACCACTTTTGCTTTACCACCTCGCAGCCTGTGTTCTGGCCTTAGCCTGTACCCATTGTACAACAAAGTGACCAAACTGAGCTGATGTGAATGGGAATTATATGGTCACCTAAGGCATATGATAAACAATGTGCCCCCATTCTCTTGATAATGTTCCTACATTTTAATTGTATTTTAAATGATTGGTATTTTATGCTTATGATTATATATTATGATAGGTTTTAATTGTATTTTTATGGAAAATCTGTAAGCTGCCCCGAGCCCGTCTTTGGCGGGGAAGGTGGAGTATAAATTAAATAAATAAAATAAAAATAAAATAAATCTGCTGTTTAATGGAGTCTCAGTCTGCTGTGGCGCCATTGTATATGGTTCCCCTTTGCCTCCCATTTTGGCTCAGCATAAAAGCTAGCCATCTGCATCAGACCTCACCATGGCAACTGCATGGGCATGGGCAGGAGAGCGCGTGAGAGGGGGGAGGGCTCCTGATATGCTGGCAGGGCTCTGCACTGCTGGTAGGAAATGGCACAAAACCCCACCCCACAGAAAGTAAAGGGGGGTGACCTGGTGGAGAGGAAGGCAGAGGGGGGCCCAGAGGAGAGCTGGAAAGTGAATGAGCTGAGTAAAAAACATGAAACACCCCGTGGTTGCCAAGCAGGGCATTCTGGGGACTGCCCCATGGTTCAGGGGTGGGCATGCTTCTAAGCCACCAGCCAAAAAAAAAATACTTGCAGAAAAATGTTCCCTGGATGCTTTTATGATTGGAGGGGGGAAGAATTTGACTCCAGTTCTCTGCTTATTGCTCACAGTGGCTCAAGAGCGAGGAGGAGCAATTGGGCTGTCTTAAAATTAAATCCAGATAACACGGTAAGACACTGTAGTGACATCAAAGTCACCACTAGAGGGCAATAAAATGATACAGACACCTGATCCTGAGATGAAATAACAGGAGACCTGATGCAAGATGAGATGCAGACAGAAATTTGTGAAATGATGTGATGTCGGCAGCACAGCGCCTGGAAAGACCAATGCAGACTGGACCAGCATAAGCAAGTCTGCTTGCCTTACTACCAAGCCTTCTGCCTACCTTGCCAATAGCCAGTTCAAAGATCAGCTGTCAAATGGTAAGAAGCTACCTTCTATCAGATGCAAACAACCAAGCAAGTCAGTCACAAGGTCAAAGGTGTTGATCTAATCCTTTTTTAGCCCTGGAATGGCCCACAGTCTCCATCTTTGAACAAAATGGATTTCAGAACCTGACCAGTGTTCCCTCTAAGCTGAGTTAGTGTGAGCTAGCTTTTTTAGTCTCCGGCTCACACATTATTGTCTTAGCTCAGGAAGGATGGCTCCAGAGCAAACTGATTTATGCAGTAGCCAAATCGCTTGCTCACAACTTTAATGCCAGTAGCTCACAAAGTAGAATTTTTGCTCACAAGACTCCACAGCTTAGAGGGAGCACTGAACCTGACTGTGTAGTTTGCCACTGGAACATGTGAATTTTTCTGAGACAGCACTGAGTTACCTTTGTGCATTCTGTGAGGAACATCTAACAACTAGCAGCTCTAAACACTGGGGGAAGCACCTCTTAATACTGAGAGAAGACTTTCATTAAGGGAGGCAACTCGCCTAAAACTTGTTTAAAGCTTCTCCAAATGGATTTTTGATTTTTACAACAGAAGACCCCTCCCATGAGAGGACTTCAGTGATGTTTGATATTATGAGATGAGAAGCATGGATTGCTGGATTTTGGATCTTCTTTTGAAGGATTGTTTCAATGGCTTTGGAAAAATGTGTGGATTCAGCAGAAAGAGCACAGAAACTGGTGTGTCAACTGGAATATTCATTTTGGCAACTAAGTTAAGATATGTTGTCAACAGCTTTCATGGCCAGAGTTCATTAGTTGTTGTAGATTTTCCAAGCTGTATGGCCATGGTCTTGGCATTGCAGTATCTGATGTTTTGCCAACAGCTGTGACTGGCATCCTCAGAGGTATAACACAGAAAGATGGAGTACTCTCTGTGTCTATGTGAGAAGAAAAATGGTAGGCAGGTAATTAATATCTACTCAGGAAGGTGGGGTAGGGCTGAGTCATTATCTTGTAGGAGTTTCCCAGGCTGTGACATGCTAATGGAGGAGTTTTCCTGAGGAGGTTCTTTTGTATATGGATTGGCTATTGAAATTCTAATCTTATCTGTAGTGCTGTTGTCAGATGTAGAGCATTTTGTGTTTTTCAGGACTGGAAACCATGCCCTATTTATTTTTAAACTCTCTTCCTTCCTGTTGAAATTGTGTTTATGTTTGGCTTTTTTGGCCAAAACCAATTCCATTATTTATTTGATTTCATTTATACCCCGCCCTCTCCGCGCGCGGGCTCAGGGCGGCTGACATAGGCACAACCGTGCAATAAAATACAACAGGATTAAAACAATTAAGGCACCCAAGGTGCGATAAAACTACACAGATTAACCACTTAAAACCAAAATTCATATTTTACAGGATACATTGGCGATTAAAATACTCACTCATTATTGTATTATCACAGTGAGATCAGAAGAAAGGGGGGAATGCCATGGGCCAAGATGTTCTGGGTGGTTATCATTTCTACAGTGCAACTAATATTATACGGCATTATTTGTAATGCATACTGCACAGTGTGTGACTATATGGCCAAAAGGCCTATGCCTCCACCTGCCAGCTGATCAGTGGCTAGGGGGCAGGGTCTGGCAGTGGGGGGGCAACTCCACCGGGGAGGGGGTGTCTGGCAACCTTATGTTGCCTTTGCCTTGGAAGAGAACCTGAGAAAATCACTGCATGTGCAAAAGGGCTTGATAAAGAGATTTTTTTTTAATCTTTCCCCAGCTTTTTTTTTTGTGCATTAGTTAGCAGAATTAGGTGCAAAAAACCAATACAGAACACAACAATTAATATGCTTGCTTTGCATGATTAGCAATTTTTATGTTAGGCAAACTATATTACCCAGATTTAGGGATCTTAAATATGGCAACCTTAGTCCAATCTCAAGAGCAATCTGATAGGGAAAGGCTAAGATTCAATTGCAAAATTGACTCTTAAGAGAAGTTATGCAATGGCAATGTATTTTCATGACAATTATTACTATTTCATAATAACTTGGCAGCAATTCTTCAAGAACTGCAGCAGATATGCTGAAAGTTTCAGAGGATGCAGGAATGAAAACTGCAAGGCAAAGTCACAAAGGTTACATGAAAACACTGAAAAGGTTGGGCAGGGGGGTTGGGCACAGCAAATAAAAGGATGAGATATTGATTAAAGGTTTGGCTGCAGATAAAAACGTGGAGATTTGCCACTATTAGACAGGAGAGGTACAGGATGACAAAAATGGAGTGTCAGGCCACATTTGGACTTGAAAGGCTTATGTGAATTATTTATTTATTTTATTGCTTTGGTATTCCATGAAGAACTGAACTTTTAATTTATTGACAAGAGTTCTGTGAGTGATCATGGTTTCAGACAGAATAATAGCACTTTCTCCCACTGAACTGTCCTTGGGTACATGCCGTATAAACTAAAAAGGCTGATCTAAACAGTATATCTTACAAAACACACTAGCCCTCCACACTGGATTTTACAGAAGTAGCATCAATAGAATTAATAAATGCACTAAATTCAAGTAATCTGGTTGACTTGAGCTGTAAAATCACTTTTTTACCTTTAAATCATACTTTTGCGAATTAGCAGAAATCCAACATTTTACCGATTATTCAACTGAAGTGTTTTAACAATAAGAATCCTTATTAGGGATCACAAATCCCAACAAAAAGAAAGAAAACTGTATGCATTTTGGAAACCAAAATTTCATTCACACATGACATACATGTTGACATTATAACATTAGGGTCATAATATTTGCTTTTTTGTTTTTGTGGAAAGGAAATAGATGAAAGAGATGAATGATATTTGTTTAGTCATGTCCTTTTTAGAGATACTGGATAAGATGTATCCAGGGGACAATGGCATTTGTAATAGTATGGATTCTGAAATATGTCCTTGAATGTTAACCAAGCCATTATCATTAATAACAACATAGTTATTCCCTGAATATTAATGGACAATATTTATAGCTTACACAACTTTGAACAAGAACTTATGCGTTTAAAAAAAACTCATCTCCCCAAGTGATTGTGTATGAATGATCTAGTTTCATAATTCCCATGCAACTGTAACCAAGTTCACATGACCCACCATGAGCTTAATTTGGTTCACCAAAACTTTTATTGAGCAATGTGTCCTTGTGATATTATTAAACTCTGGGCCAGTATTCAGGGAAGACGGTGCATGCTCTTGTCCAAGAAAAAAGTCTAGGGGCATGAGATATAATCCACAAACCTTACAATACATTAACCAGCTCATTAATTTATGGTGTAACTACATAGTAATTTCTATGTAAGTAATTACATAGAAATTTCTATGTAAGAAAATAGTAATTTCTATGTAAGAAAATAGTAATTTCTATGTAAGAAAATAGTAATTTCTATGTAAGAAAATAGTAATTTCTATGTAAGAAAATATTTCATTTTTAATGAGCATCCATACCTGTGGGCATATGAAAGAGATTTTTGCAGCGTGGCATGTTCTTCCTAGTGCAGAAGGACAAAATTGAATTGGTACTTCGGTAGTAGAGCATGGAGCTACAATCAACTGCAAAAACATTGGGGAAAAACAAAAGAACAATAATAAAATCAATGCTTTTTTTCAAGCCAGTTCTGTTCTTTTTGCTCATATCGACACTGTTGATGTTTACGTGATTAATGTGTTCTACTGTACACCTTCTCTGCTCTCAGCATGCAAGATCTGCTAAGGCTGATAAAGTGCATTGCAGTAAACAGTGCTTAGTAGCAGTCACAGCATGCTTGTTCCCCAGAAACTAAAAACACTGTACTAGCCACAAAGAAGGAAGTGCAGGTTGTTTGAAAGCATGGATGACAGAAACAGAATTTCAGTTTCAAGTTGTATATTGCCACTTTATCTTTTTCCCAACACAGAAATGCTTTAAAGTCTTATATGCCTACTCAATTAAAAAGCAACAAACCAATTTTTAAAGAGCACCATGCAGCTGCCTCTCTAAGTTTCTTTCCATCATTACATACATTCAGATGGGCTCAGAGAAATTACCATGCTGTGATCTACTTACATTAAAATTACAATATTTTGATTCACAGTTGCAGTGGAAAAGTAAAGTGGCCAACTATATGATAAGATAAAGCTGTTTGAAGATTCTAAGCAGGGAACCAATATCCAAATCCCAGAAGACTATTACTCAACACACTTGCAACTTAATACCAAACAATTCTACTAGGGTATCTACCTAAAACACTTGTGTAATTCATGACTGATGTCATGTGTTGTGATTGTGAAGCAACGCTGAAGAAAATTGCTGAGATACACTATCCTAAATGATTTGATCAACACTCTTTAAACGATAAGTGAGAGAGCGATTAGATTTTGAGAAATTATGGAGAGAACACAATACAGAGGGCAAAAATCTGAACTTTCTATCAAAATATAGGTGTTGGCAGTCATCCCTTATTTTAATAGTCTGACCAATAATATATTTTAGTAACCTCTATTAGGGCCTAAAAAGCCAATAATTCCCTCATATGTAAAAGGAGAAAAATACACTTAACACCCAGACTGACAATTTTATACGCACACACACACACACACACACACACATGAACACACTTTTTTTTTTTTTGCCACTGTCGTCACATCAGGATCAAACTGGACTCTTTCCATGCCCTGCTTGGATTTTCCCTGGCTATGCCTTTGACCTGATAGATCTTTGAAGATTCTGCCTATGATGACCTCTCTCCTTGACTCTCCACATTCATGGCCAGACTAATCATTAGGTTAACAAAGATATAGCTTTAGACCCAAATTTTATGCCCTCCATTCCCCAGTTATGATGTGCATTAGACTGATAAGATTGTGAAAACTGCTAGCCGAGTGTATAACTCAGCCAAAAACAGCAAAATACAGAAAACGTGTCGTGATGTAACTGTCAGCAACAAGGCTTCATCACAATAAATGACAAACTGAAGAGTGTGTTAGAACACCAGATCAAGGCCTACAAGGATATTCAACAAAATCTGTACTGTCTTGGCAAAATTTTTGCCCATATTTCAAGCTCCCAAGTCAGCACATGTCTGTGTCTGAATTACCCATATTTCCTAAAGCATTTCAGCAATTTGTTGAACTCCATTTCTTTCTTAGAAAAGAGATGACAAAAGCACATCTATTCAGAAGTACAATTGTTATTGAATCCAAAAGAACAGAATGTTTCCCAAATGCTGAAACATTTGTCACCAGTGATCAGTAACTGTAGCATAGAATGTACATTCTCTCTCCAGAAAAGACTCACCAGTCTCCTCTGAGATTTGAGATAATCACGGTTTTGTTCCTCTTTAGCAGTGAGAGTGAAATTGTCCAATCTTTAAACTGAATGATGTCATTTATGATTTTACCACACCCAAAGAAATGATTGCAGTGAACTATGTTTGTTTGAAGATTTTTACTTTGATTTGGATACATTTGCTAATTTGTTTGATGATGTTATGGTTTCAGGATTTTATTGCAATATATAGTATGTATTTAGGTAGGTCATTCCCTCCTATTAGCCTTAGACTCCTCCAATGCTCCCTCCAAGCTGTGGAGTCTTGTGAGCAAAAATTCTACCTTGTGAGCTACTGGCATTAAAGTTGTGAGTGAGCAATTTGGCTACTGCATAAATCAGTTTGCTCTGGAGCCATCCTTCCTGAGCTAAGACAAGGTTTTGTTTTGTTAAAAACCACTAAGGTAGAATATTACCTGGTTCTTTGGAATCATCCTGCAAACACAAGGTAAGGACAGGTCCATATGCAATGGTGGGAGTTCTGTGAACAGCTTTCCCAGTTTTTCATTTCCCCAAAACTCACTCAAGCAAGGGCCCAAGTCTGATTGGGAGCACTGTGCAAGGAGAAAAACAGGTTGCTTACCTGTAACTGGTAATCTTCGAGTGGTCATCTGTGCATTCACACCCATGGGATCTAGTGTGCACGTGCTGGATCGATCGGTGCTGTAGCAAGCTCTTTAAAGGATTTTCATGCCCAGTCCCTCGGGCATGCGCAGGAACCCCACCGCACATGCCCAGAGGGGTGGGCGCAGACATCCCGCCAGTTCCTTCAAACCGCCGCAAATCAACCCCTATTAAAATGCAGAAGCTGACAGCAGCGGGGAAGGAGGGCGGGAGGTGTGAATGCACAGATGAACACTCGAAGATTACCAGTTACAGGTAAGCAACCTGTTTATCTTCGACGTGGTCTCTGTGCTTCACACCCATGGGAGATTAGCAAGCAGTGGCCTACCTGTAGGAGGGTGCTGGCAGGTCCTTTACTGCGTAGCTGAAGATAGATCGTGATGTCTCATGTTGGTATTGGTGTTTGTACGGACGTCTAGGGCATAGTGTCTGATGAAGGTGTTAGGCGTGGCTCACGTAGTGGCTTTGCAAATGTCCGTCAGGGGCACTCCCTGGAGGAAGGCAGTGGAAGTCGCGACAGCCCTGGTAGAATGAGCCCTATTTATTGGCTGTTTAGCGAGTAGGTAACATAGACGGATGAGACCCACAATCCACTTTGACAGGCACTAAGTCGTGATGCGAGTACCCAGCCGTGCTGATGCTTAAGAGACGAACAGTTGCGAGTCTCGTCCTATTGAGGTAGAACAGGAGACCCCGCTTCACATCCAAGGTGTGCAATAGTTTGTACTCTGCTGATGCCGAATTAGGGAAGAAATCAGGGAGGAAGACCTCCCCCTGCAGTTGGAACTCTGACACCACCTTCGGCAGGAAGGAGATATCTGGTACGAGGCGGATTCTGTCTGGCAGAAAGGACAGGTAAGGTGTATCATGCCGGAAAGCCAATATTTCTCCCACTCATCTAGTCGAGTTGACAGCAATTAAAAAGGCCGTTTTTCATGCTAGAAGTTTGAGGTTGCATGTTGCAAGCAGCTCAAAGGTCTTCCTCGTGAGCTGGCGGAGAACTAGAGGAAGGTCCCAGGGAGCGGCTGGAGTTTTGACAGGAGGGTAGAGATGCAATAAACCTTTTAAAAACGTTTTGAAATTGGATGGGAAAACAAAGTGCATCCATCAACTTGAACATGGTAGGCCGAAAGAGCGGCCAATTAAACTCTCAATGATGAATGGGAAAGTCCCGAGTCAGCTAGGGAGAGGAGGAATTGGAAAACTCTTTCGAGACCCACTGAGGTGGCTCAAGGGGCGTCATCACCTAGAGAAGAACAGAACCTTCACCATTTATAATTGTAGGACCTCCGTGTAGTAAGTTTCCTGGAATTCAACAGAACGTTCGCTACGCGGGTGGAGAAGCCGATGACGTTATTCTCCATGCTGTCAGTTTCAACTGTGGTATGTCGTGATGTAGGAGAGGGGAGTCGGAGAGGAGAAGGAGGTTTTGAGCTGGAGGGAATTGATGGTATATCCCTTCTGATAACTCAAGAACTGTTGAAAACCAAGGTTGTCTCGGCCACCATGGGGTTATTAAGATGCAGTCTGCAGCGTCTCTGAGTATTTTGCGGACCACTCTCAGAAGCAGAGGTAAGGGAGGAAACAGGTAAAGAAGTCCCGTGGACCAAGGGCAAAGGAGACCATCTCCCAGAGATTGTGGGTCCCTGCCTCCTCGACTGCAGAACAGAAAACTTTTTTTTGTTTCTGGTGGCAAAGACATCGACTTGGGGAGTTCCCCACTTGTGGAAGAGTGGGAAAAGGTATGTTGGGTTCATCCCCCACTCGTGAAGGCTGAGACCTGCTCGACTTAGATGGTCTGCCTGCACGTTCATGTGACCGGGAATGTGAGTGGCTACAAGGAAAATGTTGGCAATGCAAAGCTCCCGCAACTGGATGGGAAGGTTGTAGAGGCGTAGATAAACAGTGCCTCCCTGTCTGTTGACATAAGAGAGCGCCGTGGTGTTGTCCGTGAGGACCGTGACACATTTTCCCTTGATTAAAGGTAGGAAGCTGGTGACAGCATGTTGTATTGCCAGCAGTTCTAGGAAGTTTATGTGTTGCTTCCTGTTCTGCGCATCCCATTTGTCCCCCATGGAAAGGCCCGTGGAGTGCGCACCCCATCCCATCAGGGAAGCATCCATCGTTATGATGACTTCGGGTGATGGAGGGTGGAAGGGTGCTCCCTGGAAGATATTCGAAGGGACAGTCCACCAAACTAACGAGTCCCATATGTTGGGAAGAGGGGATAGGAGGACGGTGTGTGCGTTTTTTGACAGGTCATAGTTGCGGATAAACCAGAGCTGTAAAGGACACATTTTGAGTCTGGCAAAGACGAGAACCGACGTAGTTGCAGCCATCAGGCCAAGCAGCCTCTGATTTGGAAGGCAGTGACGGAGGGTTGGGTACGGACGACAGTGGCTAAGGAAATGATATCTGCCGCTCTGTCGTGTGGCTCTGTCTTGGAATCCAGTATAGCGCCGATGTACTGTATTCTCTGGACCGGGCACAATTGAGACTTTTGTCAATTGACTTGGAGGCCCAGTTTCTCCAATAGTGCCAGAGTCTCTGTGACGTTTGCGACCAGGGCGTTCTTGGAAGGTGCTACCAGAAGCCAATCGTCCATATATGGGTAGATGGTGAC